TTGAGTATAGATCAGACTTTGTCACCTATACTTTGCGTGGTTGAGCATGATTCCTACCAACATGAAATTGAATACTCATTGTATGCATATGGCATGTTGTTAAAACGCATACATTAGCTAATTTTATAACTCAAGTTCAAGCAGGTGAAATAACTTGCCAAAGGTCCCCTAGGCAGCATGCAGCGGAGCCAGGATAAACCCAGGCAGGGCGATGCCAGTGTCCACCTCCCAAGCTCTGAATTCCTGGATCTCAACTGTCATGCTGTAAGATCTGTCTGAGATCTGCAGAGTATTGGAACTAAGGCTCTTGTTCCTCTGTACTGGTCTCTGTTGCAGACCCCTAACTGGTCCTAGCAACACTGGTTCCCTTCCTTCCTCACTGGAAAAGGCTGGGCACTGTTGAGTTTTCACAAAAGTCAGAAATGGAAACTATCCAACAATGAGCCTAAGGAGATTCCTATTTGCCAATGGAGGTGGAACATTTTTATTAAATAACACTGCTTAAAATTTATGCTATTTGAAAGGTAGAAAGAGACAGATAGAGAGATTTCCTATTTGCTGATCTACTCCCCAGATGCCCGTAATATCCAGCCTTGACCTAGGCCAAAGTGGGGCACTAGGAACTCACTCCTGGTCTCCTACATGTGTGGAGAGAGACACAAGGGCTTGAGCTGTCACCTGCGGCCTTCCAGGGTGCGTAGTAGCAGGAAGCTGGAACAATAAGCAGATAGATACAGGATGCAAACTCAGGCTCTCTGATAACGGACACAAGCATCCTAATTGGGAACCCCTGAAACAAACACCTGTTTCTTTGGGTATTTGTTTTTAAAGAATTTATTTATTTATTTATTATTCTTTATTTTATGACACAGTATAACAGGCACTGGGGTTTCCCCTCCCTCCCTACCCCCATTATCTTCCCCTTCAGTCTTTCCATAGTTGTCTTTCGAGTTTACGTTCAGCAGTCCATTATACTGCCATTGGGATGTCTCGCAATCATGCAGGGGCTTATCTGTCATGTTGCTGTGAGACCATCCTTGTATTTAAAGCTAGTCTTTCTGACAGGTAATGACTCTGAAGCTGCTGTTCAAAGTAAGTTTGGGCAGGAGGGAGAAATGACCTCTCTCCTCTTCCTCTGAGTCACTCAAGCCCGTGAGACACTTTCTCTCCCCAAAGCACCTGACAGGCCTCCCCTGGTGAAAACCCAAGGCCGTCTTACTGGAGCACATCGTCCAGCTGGCCATATATGGGTCCACAGTGAGCCACGCCTGCTTCCTGTTGGATGGCAGCGGAGCAGTGCAGTGCAGCACAATGATAGGAAAGCCCTGAGCACACAACAATAAACCAAGGAACAAACAGCGCCAGGCTTTTCTTCAAATGAATGTATGTGGCTTGGGGGGGTTGTGGTGTTTTATTTATATTGCTATGCAACAGAGGAAAAACATCAAGGTGATTTCAATGAAAGGCCCAGACAACCGCCCTGCTCTCTGACTGCATTGGCCACATTTAGATGTGACAGATGTTGGGAGGGGCTTCATGGCAGCCTTCAACTGTGTGAGCAGATACTGAGTGGGGCTGGTGGCTAGGTTTTGCTTTTGTTTTGAAAAACTCAGTGGTGAGGACAGCCGGCAGCCCCAGGGCCAGGAGAGCTGTGCTGGCTTTGGAAGGAGCCGGCTGAATGTTTACAAAACCAGGAGCACAGCCTAGGGAAACTTAAACCCAGCTGCCAGAAGGAGGCTGTGAATCGATTTGTCAAATCGCAAATCACAAAACACGCCCCGTGTTCCCCACCTGGCCTCTGTGCCTGTCTGCTGGTGAGTGTCTGGTGGGAGAGGAAGTGCCCCAGGCACATGAGTAACAGGCTGTGGACAAATGCTGCACTCTCTATCACAGCAAGGACTGTCCCTCCAGTGTCTTTGGCTCTGGGACCCTTCCCCAAACTTCCCACACAGCCCTCCAAAAAGGAGAAAAAACAACTTCAGGAATCAGGGTGTCAGGTCTGCTGGGTGACCATTTAGGCAACACCTTGGCTTTCCCCATCATGATCAGGTACCTGCTACAGTTGGGTCCTGTGGCTGTGGTGGTGTGGTTACAGACTTGGGATGGCTCCTACACATGCTTTGTTCCTTTACTGCTGTCCCCTCCCCCAACAGGTATGGAAGGTCCCCGGATATCCCTAAGAGGATTCGTGCTATGCAAGGAAAGAGCAAATAGCTGGTAATTGAAAAGGCAGAGATGGGACCAATCTTCCAGACAGAGTCAATGATCTGCACAAATCAAGAAGGCCAAGTTTTCCAACCCAAGGATTCATAAATTCATTAGATAGATATTTATTCAATGCCTCCTAGGTGGGGGCTAGGCACTCTTCCAGGTGCTGAGGATACAGCAGTGGACAAAACGAAATTTCTATTCCCAGGAATGTTTTACATTCTAGAGCAGAGAATTCACAAGGACAAATGGGAAGAATATGTTATGTTATTGTCCAGCGAAGATGAGTTCTAAGTCATTTAGCACACCTATATACTACTCCACACCAAAGGAGTTGGAGGAAAGAGAGCTAACATGATGGGTGCTTCCTATGTGTCAGGTTCTGAAAATGGAAAATAATGGAATTCTGAGCAGGTACTGTGTACTACGGTTACAGGCAGGTAATGTCAGATACTTTGTACAATTCCCTTTAATCCTCTTGACAGTTTTGGTACCAACAGAAGAAAGAATAGCTCACTCCAGCACACCCTGCTTGGGCTTTCTGTTCTCTAGCCTGATGCTCCTGGGTCAGATGGTGGGTTCACCTAGCCGTGGCTCTGCTCAGCTGCTAGGGGCTTACCTTTGTCCCCAGATCATCCCACTGGTCCCTCAAGGACATCCGGTTGGCTTTCCCTAGGATTCTGACCCTTTCTTCATTGGAGCACGTGCGGAAGGGCCAGCACTTACTGGCCAACACTCACTCTAAGTGCAGCTACTCAAACATGACTTCACTACCACGTTCCTTGCTGACTATTTTTATGGACAACAGTGTGAACGTTGTCTCTAGATGCTATGCTATGTTCTGTTGTTCTATACATATCAGTCTTGCTTCCACAACTGGGTTAGTAGCCCAGGGAACAGTTTCTGACATTTGTAAATTATGAGTTGCCTGCTAATTGTATAATAGAGTGGTTCTTAAACTTGATCATGGGTCAGAATTCCCTGCACTGTTGGTTAAAAACAGATTGCTGGGCTGAGAAGGCACATGTCTTACAAAGTCATGGAGGAAGCATGGAAGAGGCCAATGCCACAGGGTAAGGAATCACACTTTTGGGAATCCCTGGTTAACTGAATGGACTACAGTGTTGAAGAGCTGGTAAGCTGAGTTGGAGCCCTAACTCTGCCATGGGCCGATTAATCTAAGGGAAGCCCTGCTTCCTTATTGTTAAAAATTAGGGATTTTAGTGGAATGCTCATGACGACGACTATGAGGATTATGTGTAATAGTGAAGGGGGTGAGCTTCCTTCTGTCCCTGACACGCTGAATATGTTCAATACATGCTTCCAGTTACGCCTGGAAAGACTGGCTCGACATCAGGCCCTGGATAGGCCCAGAACCCAGCCTCGGAATTCCTTCTCAGACTGTCCAAGTAACGTCTTTGGAACTCATAAGCAGTGAGCGTGAAGGGTGTCACTACAGCATGACATCTATTATTAATGGCTTCTGAAATTAAAACAGGCTACTAAAAACCACAACACAGAGGGTTTCCGGAAATGGCTCTCCCCACAGCATGCTGGATGTGAAGCACCGAGCATGCATAGACCACGTGCACTTCAACACTCAGGGACTGCCAGAGGGGCGCCTCCTGTCTGCTTCCCCTGCTGACAGCTGTGGAGGAGGCGCCTGGCCTCAGAAGGGCTTGGGGCAGTTGGAGATCCCAGGACTTCCGGCCTAGCTGGCTGGCAGGCACAAGTGGGGCCCACCATTCAATAATTAATTAGTTGCAGCCGTGCAAAGACAGGGCTGCTCCTGCCTAGTGGCTTTGAAACACCCGGAGCCCTGCTGCTTCTCAGGGGCTCTAAGAACCTCTTCACCCAAGGAAGACCTCAAGGAGATCCTGCCACTGGCTGACACTTTCTTAAGGAGGCCCAAGAAGGGCTCTGCTGACAATACCATTTTCAAACCTTATTTTACAGTTCCTGCAGGGCCTGGGACTCGGTGTCCTGGCATCTGGGGATGGCCTAGCCCTAGTCATGTCCCAGGAATATAGGAGACAGGAGGCACAGTCCTCCCTCTCCACGAACCACGAATCCTGGGAATGGATTCAGTTCAATAAAACACTGCAAACTTGAATGAGATCATCTCTGGGAGGCTGGGGGCTGGGAGGACATGTCCCTTGGGAGACCCCTCCATTCTCCACCCCCCTGCACACACGAAGCACCCACCACCCCTCCCAGCCAGCAGCACCCTCCCCTGCAGCTCAGGAAAAGCACGACCCTGCCCCCATCCATCACCATTTTCACGCCTATCCTGGTTCCCTCCACAAAATCATCCGAGCCAAGACGGGTGCGTCCGTCCACAGGTTTGGGAAGCAGTGCCACCCTCTATCCCTAGAGCAGCCCCGGGCCAGGGTGTTGCTTCCAATACCCAGCCAGGCCGGGCACCAGCAGGATTGCAGAGAGAGAGGGGGTGTGCACAGGCGGCCAGGAGAGAGGCGGCCGCCCTTGGCCGGAGCCTCTGGAGGGGAGCATCAGCGGGGTCCCAGCACCTGGCGTCTCTGCTATGAGACACTCCAGGCAGAGAGGGCTTCCTTGCGCGGAAGAGCCACGCCGCCTCTCCCCTTCTCCCGTTTTTCCATCCTTCCCCTTCCCTTTGTCTGCCTTCTTTTTGCCTCCGCCGTCTGAACCCGTTTCCCTCGCCCGGACCCTGGCTCGGACACGGCAACGGTCAGCACCCTGGGGGATCCCCGGCCCCGCGCCCGCCGCCCTGCGGGGACCCCTGCCCAGCCCGGCCCTCCCGGCTCGGCTCTCACCCAGAAGAGCAGGTTGAAGCCGAGCAGCAGGTACTTGATGCACCGCAGGCCCCCGCGGAAGCGCCCCATGCTGCGGCCCCGGCGGCTCCCGAGTCCCCAGGCCCGCGCGCTCCGAGCGCCAGGAGCGGCGGGCGCCGGCGGGGAGGGGGCGGGGCGGGGCGGGGCTGCGGGGGGCGGGGCGCGGGGCCCCGGGCGCCCTGGCCAGCTGGGGCGGCCAGCAGGGGCGCGTCTGCTTCTCCCCGGCCCCCGGAGCAGCCCCATCTCCCGCCCTGGACAGCCCCCTCCCGGGGTCTGGTGGGTGCCCTGGGTGCCCCGGGGGAGGACTCAAGCTCTGCTAGGAAAGGGGCGTCGACCGGGGCTGGGACACCCAGACACTGGACTGGCGCCCTGTGCCGGGACTCCCTGGAGGCCTGCGGTGATGGCTGAGGGATGAGGACGCGGCCGCGGTGGCCATGGAAACCCGAGAGGGCGACTTGGGTGCGGAAGAGAAGGGAGACCTCAGCTTGCAGCCCGGCGTCCAGGTCCGGAGTTCGGGGCGCCGCGCGGGCGCGCAGGCTGCGAGGCCGCTCCTGGGGACCCTCCCCGGCCGCTCTCCGCCGAGGCCTCTTACCTTAATAGGCAAGGACTGAGAGAAGGCGCGGGAGGCGCTGGCCCGGCCTGACAGCTGTTGCCCCGCCGCGCCGGCCAGCGGAAGGGAGGCGGACTCCTCGAGCTCTGATGGGAGTATTGGAAAGCAGTCAGGATTGGGGATCTTAACGGTGAAGTGAAGAGGAGAGAAAAGGGGGCGTGTTTTGTTGTGCTTTGTTTTCATTAAGTTGCCTGCTGGCAGGGAAATGAGGCTCCCACTCTCGTACTATCTACAATATGTAGTGTCAGACACTGTGCGGGAGACAAGAAAGTGTGAAAATCAAGGAGCTTATGTGGTAATTCAGATGAGCTTTAAATGCCTGTTACAGGTCATGCTTGTTAGTAAGCCACAGGGGTACAGTAAGGAGGGGACAGCACCCTGATCTCTAGTGGCAGTCTGTAAGTACTAAACTAGGGCAAGGTGGGGGGAGGGGAGTTGGGAGAGTATGTTGCATTGACCAGGAGAAGTGTTTAGGTCTGTTTTCTGTTGCTACAACAAAACCCACAAGGCTGGGTATTTGTAAAGTGGTTTCATTCTGCTCAGTGGTTTGGTAGCTGGAAGAGCACCATCAGGAACCCCAACCAGGTTGGCCAATGGCCTGGGTCCCCTCTTTGGTGCAAAAAAAAAAAAAAAAAAGCCACCACAGAGCTAGTGAAGAAAGCCAGCGACCAGGGATGGGCTCACCAACTAGGAAGCACCAGGGGCAACCCCCTTAATCCCCTCCCGGAGCAGAGCCAGCGACCTTCAGGAGGTACCACCTCTTTATTTTGAATTTTCAATTATTTGTCTTCATTCTGAAGCAGCTCTTAGGCCTAGGGGGGAGGGCAGCTAGAGACCCAGCTATTTGAAACATCACCTGCTGGCTTTCCAGGTACACATTAGCAGGAATCCAGAACCAGGAATGGAACTGGGACTTGCCAGACACACTGATATGGGATGTGGGTATCAGAAAGAGAAGTTTTGACCATCAGGCCTCTTATAATTCCATATCACTCTCACCGTCATCTCACTGGAGACCGAGTTTCCAATGCCTGAAACCCTGGAGGACATGCTCCAGTCAGGTGTAAGGCACAGAGGAAAGCTTTCCTGAGGACAGTGGGTCTGTGTGCAGGAATGAGGCAGAATGGAGGACCACAGCGCAGACTACCGGCGTCAGCAAATGCATGGACCTAGCAGGAGCAAGGCCTGCAGGGAGCAGGTGGCACTGTAGTTAGCCAAGGGAGCAAAGGCTTCTGTGGAGGTGGGGGTGGAGGGGTGAGTCTGAGTCATAAAGGTGGAAGAGCTAAATCACAGCTTGCAGGGAACAGACCAACTGCACAACTGCGAAGATCTGTGAGCTAGTAGTTTTCAAGGGCCCAGAGCACTGCATGGCGCAGAGCAAGGACGGTGTGAAGGCTGTTTGTCACTGTGAACAATCAGCTCTTCAGGTGCCGCTACGTTGCCATCTTGGTGTACAACAGTGTCTTGGGATGTTTGCGTGAATATGTAGTGGAGTTTATTTGTAAAAGTAAATAAGAGGTTAAAATAAGAGTGCCAAATGTTGGTAATACGCAAAAGTAGAAATCTATGTAGAAAGAGGCAAATCTACTACAGTCTAACAAATTATTCTGTTATCTATCACCTCTGTTCTATGATAAAAGAGAGGAACTAAAGAGGAGACTAGATGCATAGTAGGAATCCAATAAATCAACTGAATGAACAAAAATGATAGACTTAAAGAATGTTGCTGGGAGCCAGATGTGGCTCAACAGGTTAGTTCTCTGGCATCCTGTATGGGTGCCAGGTCATGTCCTGGCTGCTCCACTTCTGATCCGGCTCCCTGAAAATAGCCTGAGAAAACAGTGGAAAAAAGCCAAAGTCCTTAGGCCCCTAACCTACATGGGAGACCTGGAAGAAGCTCCTAGCTTTGGATAAGATCAGCTCTGGCCACTGTGGCCTTTGGGGAAGTGAACCAGCAGATGGAAGATCTTTCTGTCTCTCCTTCTCTCTGTAAATGTGATTTTCCAAAAATAAATAAATGAATAAACAAATAAATAAATATTAAAAAAGAATATTGTTGAATCTTATAAGACAAACTATTAAGAAATTGTATATTCTGTATTGTATCTGAGAACAGACCCTTTTTAAAGCCTGCGCACATGTACCCATTTTTTCCTGCTACACTTTCAGCCCATGTGTATTCAAGGCAGATGACTGCCTGCTTAACCTAACATTTTTATATGTGAGCATATAGTTACCCAACCCCTTTTTTCACCGAGTTAGCTTTCTTAGGAGAAGCTGGCCCTTTATAAGACTAGGTTAAGATAATCCTATTTCACTCATAATTAGGAAATCAAAATGACAGGTGTTCTGGCAAATGTGACTGGAATGCTATCTGCTGGAGGGTTAGATGATCTCTCTTCTTCCTGAACTTCTTAGGTCTGTATGTCACCTTTGACATTGCTATTTCCATCTTGGCATCATTCTGAGGACGCATACAACACTGACACCAGAAAAGTAAAATGTTGAAACACCTGGATTCTTGATGAGATTGTCCCATCACTGGGTCGCTGAAGGCCACACCCAATTGTAGTTTGTTTTTGCATGTATTTATTATATATGTACATATGTGTTGTGAATGAAAGCTATCCTTGCTCATAAAATGTTTTCAAGAGTACATTGTGATTTGAGACTGGGGACAACATCATAATAGGAAGATAGCCTTTAAACTGATTGCCATTGGTTTTGCTCCCGTCTTGTTTCTCTTGTCTGGATGATGATGACTGAAGCCAATTGGAAGTCAGCAGCCAGGAGCTTCTTCCAGTTCTCCCATGTGGGTCCAGGGGTCCAGGCACCCGAGCCATCTTCTGCTGCTCTCCCAGGCCATAGAAGGGAGCTGGGTTGGAAGTAGGATAGTGGAATTGGTACTGGTTCCCATACGGGATGCTGGCAGCAGGCAGAGGATTAGCCTGATATGCCATTATGCTGGCGTCCCAAGCCTCTTCTTAATAGGGTGAAACTATTGCATCTTACTTTTTTCTTCTTGAATTTATTTTTTCATTCCACAAACTGTAATCCTAAAATAATGCATTTTTATGCTTGAAAGAGTTTTCCTGAATGTTATTTTACACTTGTCTGAACAAACCTTATTATGTGTTTATTAAAATTTAGATTTTCCTGTCAATATAAAGCTGTTAATTAATTAGTTTTGGTTTTACAGAGAGACAGGGAAAGGCAGAGAGGAAGAGATTGTCCATCCATTGGTTCACTCCCCAAGTGTCTGCAGGGCTAGGGCTGGGCCAGGCAAAAAGCCAGGAGTTCGGAGTTTCTTTTAGGTCTCCCACATGGATGCAGGGGTCCAAGTACTTGGGAAATCCTTTGCTGCCTTCCCAGGCGAAGGAGCTGGATCAGAAGTGGAGTGACAAGCATTTGAATTCATGCTCATATAGGATGCTAGTGCTCCAGGTGGCAGCGTAACCCCCTATGCCGCAGTGCTGGCCCTAGCAAACATTGTTCAGCATTTTAATTGCTTTAGTACTAATGTTGAGAATCTTCAAGCAAATAAAAGGCAAGGATCAAAGAAGTCATTATATAAATGCCAGTCAATTTTTTAAACACCTTTTGACTCATATCCAACAATTCATATACTATTGTATCATCAGAACTCTTTGGAATGACGAATTATATCTCTATATGGCCTTTCTTCCATTCACCTGAAGCCCAGTCCCCAGGTTGCCCTTCTAACCTAGAGGACTATTTACTACCCACGTGGTATTTACTTTTTCAGCACCTGCAACAAGGTAGTGGGCCAGGGATTTTTAGTACTCTGTGGAGTGGGTCATGATCAGAAGCAGCATGGGCAAGACATACCTCGGGATGGAAGACACCTGAACTGTGGGCGTTTTCTCATCCAGCTTGATTCTAGGAAATACTCCACATAGACATGAAGGACCTGGAATCAATTCTGCCAAATCTGCTCCCATCGGGGGCCCCCGGCAGAGACTTCATACCTCCCTAGGGTACACATGCCGCGAAGATGGGGGGCTAATTTAAGCAATAGAATGTGAAAGTGTAAAGAACAGAAAGTTTAAAACAACAACATATCAAGAAGCAGACAGGAGGCTGGTGGTGTGGCACAGCGGATGAAGATGCCTCCTGTAACATCTTGCTACTTCGCTTCCAATCCAGTTCCCTCTAATTGAGAAAGCATTCGAAGATGGCCCAACTACTTCAGTCCCTGCCATGTGGGAGACCTGGATAGAGTCCCAATGGCCTGAGCCAGTCCTGGCCATTCTGGCCACTGAGGAGTAAAGCAGGAGAGGGAAGACTTCTCTCTTTCACTCTCTTTCTCTCATCTGTCTTTTCTCCCTCTCTGTAACTCTATCTTTCAGATAACCAAAATAAATCTAAAATAAGAAATATATAACACTCCAATGGGAATAAATAGCCAAGGAGGCAAGAGGCAGAGATCCAGAAGAAAATGAT